GTTGATAAAATAAATTAAAAATGCTGTATTGTTCGATACATATGCGTACCGAACCGAAAGCACTGTATCGAACGGTTCAATATCGATACGAGTATTGTTGCACCCCTAGTAAACATATTGTAAAAGAAATGAAAATACTGACCACTCTGGTTTATGCCTGTCATCCTGTCGATAAGTAACTTTACCCAGTATGTTCAGGGTTATTCAGAGGAATGAGGTTACTGAGGGGGAACACGCTCACATGCACTGTAGTCTCCAAATCTGTGTGGACACGCAGCAGATCAGTGGAAATATTTCTTTTCTACCCCGCAGACAGTACATCAGAGTAATATCATTAGAATATATACCACTGCAATAATATAATCTGATCATTTATTTTTTACATTTTATTTTATTTTTACACTACACTATACCCTTTACCCCATTTAGACTCGTGGCTGCGTGCTGCAGATATGGTAGCAGCAACATGAGTAAAACTGTTAGTAAGGTCAGCCTGCGAGATGATAGCAAACTGTGTGGTTTATCTCCATACAGACAGCTTCACTTTTCTCCTTCAAATATTGGTTTGAAGGTGAAGTTATGTTTTTGGGGGTTTTTTTCTTTCACATTTGAACTTTCTGAACAGGTGCTTTGAAAATCCTATTGAAGGCTGTGCTGCTGTTATAAAGCTTTTTTTTATAAAAACATTTTCTACTGATTCTTGGTTGCTTTTTAATTCACACACAGTCTCCTTAATAAACATCACGGTCTGCGTAGATCCTGTTTTTAGTTACATTTTAGTGACATAAAACATTAAAACCACCTTTTTAATATTGGAAGGTGTATTTAATTCCATTGGTCACACTGGGAGATGAGAATCAGATTGAAGGAGCAGAGATGCATAGTTTAGTACCAGGATTTAATTTTATGTGAATTGTGATTTAATTTAAGTTTTATTATTATTAATTCCTTGACCGGACTAGAATGAAAGTTGATTAGGCTTTAAAATGGGGGAAAATAATGATGGTTACTGTTCTACATGATGGCTACCAAACATCTATTTCCTACAAACAGTCAGCTGTGGGACGTTTCACAGATGCTTGATCCAATCAGGATCTGGGGAGTTTGGAGGCCAGGTCATTTGGCTTTTATGTGGTTAGATTCATTGCCAGTGCTGCGTGGGGTCCTCTGCCATACAATGAAATGTACAGGCGGTTATTTGCTACGTTAACTGTTATATAGAAACACAACAGTGGTTGGTCCATTGATTTAAGTGCGTATTTTATGCTTCAGTCATTGAGGAATGAAAGTGAGTGAAAATGAACCAATGTCCAAAGAAAAACTTTTTTAAAGACCTTCAGAAAATTTGGAGAGCTATTGCTCAAGACCACCCTAATAATTCCAACAAGGTTCCTCTCCTTGGAAGCAAAATACAAATAAAAAATGGCTGTAGATTTTCGCACAGTGTTGTATAACAGCGGATTTGTGGCATGAGTGAGCGCTGCGATTCCATCACTGAACTGAAACATGACTGTAACACTGAAGATGTGGGTGGGATGACAAACATCCGCGAACTGAAACATAACCAACACGTCAGGTTGCGGTTTGGAGTAGTTTTTGATGCCCTGCGGATGAGCACCGATGATTGTTACCCAAACATTGTCTCTCAGAAACAGTAGGTACTTCACTGCTAGCTTCAGCCGATGACCCTATATGGGTTTCAATCCAATAAACAGACACACGAATTTGACAGTAAATGAATAATAAGTCTTACTCATGCTGCGGGGTTGCATGCCAGCGAAGCAGCTCCCGTATGCAGGACTGTCAGGTTCTTTGTTAGCGGCATGTGTCTGCTTTCTCTGCCAGTTGCCTTTTGACCTCTCTATTCTCATGTTTACTCAGTGAGGGGTGGATACCACTCGGCGAACAATGTCTTCATACCAGTTTTGGCTTTGTTAAACTCTTTACTTCCTCCTCATTCGCCTTTTGGGAGGGGAACAATACTGCTTTCCATAAGTTCCAGACGATGGCAAAGCTGCAAATGCAGATTAAAAACTGGCTCAAGTTAGTTTTCCCCTGAAGTTTCCCACTACAAATGACTGCTGGCAGAGAAACTGCAATGAAATGATAAAAATCAAACACACGGCACCAACAGACGCTCATTGCTCCAAGTTTGTTGTTTTTAATTTAAATGTTTGTTTTTTTGTGTCCAATAAAATTTTTCAGATCATGCTTCTGAGGTGCAGGTGACGATGATGTTGACTGAAAGTTGCAAACTTCGTGGCCTTCATCACAGGTAAATCTTGCCACATATACACATAGCTGGGCCTTTAGAGAATATTAAATATTCAGGCATCCTGTTGATGCACATGAGGAAAAAAGAATCTATTGCTCGGCATCATATAAGGAATCATAGCTGCTGTCATACAGTTACCGTCCCATCAGAGTTTTTCATCAGTTTTTTAATTACAGTTTCTTTAGAAATGCAAGTTTATTTTGAAAGCCAAAATAAATGTCACAACACCAGCAGGGTTTGTGTCTTACGTCACCGGTTGGATGTCTTGATTACGCTTGAGCATAGCATGCCAGCCTTGCTTCTGTGGTCGTCTCTTAAGTGTCAATTTAAACATTGATGAAAGAACACCACATGTTTGCCAACAGGGCTGATACCTTAATAAGGAGTGTGAATCGAAGTCAGTCTTTGTGACATTTGTAATAAAATATTGTCTGAAAGGCTCTGAATTTATTTTAAAGGAGACCGTTTCTTTTTTGTTTTCTTGTACATACTGATAAAATGGTGGATGTTCCTATTGAAGATTGGCAAACAGGGTATCTGAGTGTCTGATATATGTGATTTTTATATTCTTGACACAGTTTTATGGCCCAAAAGTCATCATGGATTGTTTTTAGGGAATGGCCGTTTGTGAAATCAATTTGTTGTCAGCTTTGTGTTTTGTCTTAAGACTTTATGAGAATTTAAATTCTAAAATAAAATTGTTCTTCAAATATATCTTCTTCCAGTAGTGGATGTTCAGCTCAAACCTGACCCTTTTCATATAAAAGCTAAAAGATAAACACTCGATTGCAGTTTTTCCCCACTGATCTTTATGACGTCAGCGAAGGCACAAACCCCTCATGTAATGATGTTAAGGATACAGAAACCCCAACGACCAAAGGTTTTGCTTAAGAGAAGCGGCCAATCAGAAGAAAGTTTGTTTAACAAGATGGGTTAGATCCCTAAACAGTCTTTTTCTTTCAGAAAGAGCATAGACTAAGGACTGCAGCAAGACCCAGTGAAGATGAACAAGGATTATTTTTGAATTCAAATACGAAATATTATTTTTTTAATGTTATTTGAAAGTAGTGGCTAAGAATAAATACATGGAACAGAAAATTAACAAAACGGGTCAAAGCAGCATTTCTTTGGCAGATTTTACCCGAAATGTACAGCAGCCTTACAGCAGTGTACTTGTGTGGAAAAGATTGTCGTCACAATGTCCCACGCCTTCCTCTTTCCTCTGCATGACATCAGCTCTGTCATATTTGCTGACAGTTCCTCTTTGATGTTTTGGATGATAATGTCCTTTACTCTTCCTTTAATGTGCAGTAGACGTGTACATGAGCAGAAATGATGATCTGGTACACTCAGGTCCTGTTTCCTTTCTCTTTTCTTTTAAGAAATCTGCTTCCCATAAGCCATGTGTGCACAGAGGATGGAGAGAAGCCCATGGTGCTGCTGCCTTTTATGGCTTGGGGTAATCTGAAGCAGTTCCTGCGGCAGTGCAAGTTAGCTGAGGCTAATAACCCACAGGTGAGGCTTCAGCTCAGCAGACAAACTGTAATCAAAAGCAATATTAAACCCCCCACCATTAAAAGTCATGTTCTCGGCCATGCCTGGATCTCTTCGGGCACATCTGTCTTGTTTTGACCGTTCCAACCACCTGCTCCGTACTACTCAAGCAACTTTTGTCTCAAACCAAATTTCTTCTGGAAGGTCATGTCTGGTGACGAGTGCTTGGTTTTCAGCTATGATCAAGCTGTGCGTGTATGTATATGTATAGATACAGAGATTTATAGATACAGAGATACATTTATCTATATAGAGATATCTATCTATATATCTCAATCTCATCTGAACGAAATATTTTGACATACAAGCAAAATAAGGATGTTAAATTCAAAGCTGCATATCAGAGCCAAAAATAAAACTGGATACATTTATGGAAGAATTAAAAAAAACAGGAATATATTGCATTAAGGAAAACAAATTGTCAGCGGTTATAATTGGGAAAGTACACAAAAGAATTACAGAAAAAACACAGATACATCACATAAATGCACATTTATAAAAATATGTGACTTGAATGCAGTTGCAAGCTGCTTTTTCTTCAGGCAGGACCTTCGAAGTGAAGGGGGTAAACTTGTTCTCAGAGCAGCTTGCGTGTAAAACCATTAGAATAAATGCGTCAGAGTATGCGTGGCTCCTCTTTAACGTTTATTAAGCCATTAAAATAAATCCCCCAGATTGAAAGATAAGTCAGATTCCATCGTAGTGTCAAGCATGAAAGAACATTTTGTGTTTGCAGCAATCAGTAACGAGTAGCACCTACAGTAACTACTGTTTACACTGTTATTAAGAGGTCTGTTGATACAGTGATGAAGCCGGTGCTCAGGGCAAAGGTTTGTAACTCACTCCGTGGAGACAATCGGGCTTTTGTACAGTTAACCCCAGGGAGGCTTTCATGCGCTTGGAGAAAAGCCACAGCAGATCCAACCAATCAATCAGCTGCAAAATACAGATGCAGAAAAATGCTTTGCGATCACAAGATGAAGCTTGCCACACATTTACAATAATCAAACGCCTTTTTCAGGCACACATCAGCACCTTCCTTGTCGGCAGTTCCAATACGTACCTTTGGCGGCTACGGGAGACAAAGACTTAGTCATTAAGTTGGAGGTGTTGCAATAAACACTGAGCTATAAATCAGCTCAGTATCAGGCCAGCTTAGATTAAACTCGCGGGGAAATGCTCCGAGAGCACATTCATTCTGCGAGCGAACATCTGGTTTAAAAGGTGTGACTGTGGAGGGAGGGAGGAGGTTTGGAGCGTTGACCTTGTTCTTAGACATTTTTCTTTCACCGACAGCTGAGATGTATTCTCCACAGTTTGAATGTCTCATAGCAGCTGCACATGTAGCCGTTTCGCTTGAGCTGTTGACTTAAATTCTTCTAATCTTTGTTCACTGGTTGCCCAAGTCTTTGTTTTTCGGTATAGTCCCAAGCTTTAATTTTGCCTCCATCAGAGTGTCAACTGTCAGATAAGACAACAAAGTCCATTTCCAGTGTTTACATCCAAGCCGGGGATTGTGCTGAGTAAATCAGACCAGATGCAAGAGAATTGAACCATACACACAATTATTTGGAGCTGTTACTTAAAGAGCTCAGTGTTGTCTTTTCAGCTCTCCAGGATGTTTGTTACAGGAGCAGCCTCACTTCGTTAGCGGTCGAGTGTCTTTTCTCTGACACACCTGCTGACTTAGAGCTATTGTCAGTAAGCCCTTCAACAGCTCCACAGACAAAGCAGACTCATTTCTTTAATGCAAGACTCGGTTAAACCTCTGAGGAAAAGAGTTTCTGCGTCACATCAGATCAAATCCTCAGAGCAATGTTAACTCTTGTCTCTCAATGTAAAGCAGTCAAACGGCTAAAATGACCAAGTGCGTTCACGTCTAACTTTTATCTAAGAAAACTGTTTCTCTCATATCTATATTTTTACTTTATCTGTGACTGATATTCTAAAGCTACTCCATAATACTTTGATCAGTAATAAATGACAGTGAAGTCCGTATGTTTAGGGTGTTCTCCTTTGTTACATCCATGCTTCAGTTTCAAACTAACATCTTAATTGTGGGTGAGACATGTTTCAGATATTTCCATCATCACTTTGAGCTTTAAGTATTTGCCTCAGGGCTTTTGCAGCAGTAAATCTTGCTGTTCTGTGTGTTAGCCATGGTTCACTGCAAAAACACGACAGTGTTGTTATTAAAAAGTGAGAAATTATAATAAAATAAAAGCATATGTTTTTTAAAAAAAAAATTACGCTTAAGGATATCACAATGGTACATGAGAAAAATACAGCCTGATGCTCATTTGTAGTCTATTTAATGAAGGACTGCAAAACTTTACCAACATAATATGAATTATTTTTTGTTAGATAAAGGCTCTCACTTTACTAGATTTTTTTAATGCAGCATCAAATTAGTGATTCAGACGGTCAAAGTAGTAGAAATGTAAACAAAACACTTAAAGTTGTGCTGTTTTTTTTTCTTTTTCCCTGTAATGAACTTTAAGTGTAACAATAAGGGATTTATTTATATTTATATTTATTATTATTTTCAATAAAGTCAATCAAAGGAAGCGAAAGAAGTATGGGTGCTCTGGAGGTTTGATCTTGTTTCAGATAATTCACTGGAAAAAAGCAAAACTTCTAGAAGTGCGTTTTGGGTAAACTTTCAAGGCTGATACCAGCATTTGACAGGTTGCCTTTTTGCCTACATTTTGTCAACTGGCTCATCTTGTAGCCATGATCCCTTGTGTGTCAAAATAATTTTATGATTTAGTCATATTTTAACACTCGTAAATGTTGCTTTTGGTCATGATGGTGATATTGGTGTTCACCAAATGAACAGACTGTATCACGTCGATTGTGGCACTTGGAGTGTTTAACGACGCTTAAATGTGTTGTGTGGGTGTTTTGGTTTTTTTGGCTTTGAAAAATGCATTTGGTCATCTCCTCTACTTAAGAGCACGAATTAAAAAGCACAAAAACTCACCTCTGTGCACTTCAAGCCCTTTAACTCAATTAACTACAATTTTGAATGGCTTCTTGAGCTATTCTAAAAAGTACTGTGCAAAAAAAATATCTAATTCTTTGGTGAGGTGGGAGCTTTTCTCAGATTTAATGACATTTAGGGAGCATTTAGGTTTTTTATATTATTTTATTTTTTGATGGCAAGAAAATCAACAAACTCCACATTGAAGCACACACACAGTTTGAACCCAGGACCCTCTTGTTGAGGGGCAGCAGTGTTTTCCGCTGAGCTACCGCAACATTCTGCTGTGTTTACACAGTGTACATGAATGATCTTGTTGCAAGAGGTAGGTATATAGATGAGGAAATATTTCTGAAACTGTTGAGTCTAGACAGAGATTAATGTGGATGTAGCCTTAGTTTACCCCTTTATCACAAAAAAAATAACACCTGTTTTTTCTCCTCGGCATGCTGACGTGTGTTAATTATCTTATTATACTCGATGTTGACACTGAAATAAGAGTTTAGAGGTCACCAAAGTTGTTACACTTGAGGGAACATGTTGTACATGGGTACGTATATATCTTTGAAATTTTAAAGGTTGCATTTAAACAAGTCATGTCAGGTCTTGTTTTTCCAGTCTCCTTGCAGTTGAATTTATAGAGGAAAAAATAGTCGTGGTGTATGTAATGCCCATATTTCGCCCACATTGTCCCGTTCCAAAGAAAACTAGAACAATTTTACACAGAAGTCACCAGGTATCCTCTCTCCGTCTTTACTTTTTTTCCTGTCTGTCTCTCAACTGCACATTGTCGCCCTCTCTCCCCCATTTCCTTTCAGGCAATCTCTCAGCAGGACCTGGTTTACATGGCCATCCAGATTGCATGTGGAATGAGCTACTTGGCTCGCAGAGAGGTCATACACAAAGACCTCGCCGCTAGGAACTGCGTGTAAGTTTTCAGCGACCTGACTCTAGCTGTCGTCACGCTGTCCTCGGTAGCTTTCAGGTGATTTGGTTTGGAATTTAATTTGTCAAAAATAAAGGCCGTGCTTTCCCTCCACCGACAGCATTGACGACAACATGCAGGTGAAGATTACAGACAATGCCCTCGCCCGAGATCTCTTTCCCATGGATTACCACTGTCTGGGGGATAATGAGAACCGGCCTGTCCGCTGGATGGCCCTGGAAAGCCTGCTCAACAATGACTTTTCCAGTGCAAGTGATGTGGTAAGAACTACCAGATATGCAGTTTACTTCCATAGACTGTATATAAATGATGGACACAGCCACTGTGTTGTCAACCATTTAGGGCAACTAAAGATTATTTTGTTGCGCCCTCTTGGGCTTCATTTTTGCTTTGTCTGCTTGCTGTTGCTTAACAAGGCAACGCTGTAACTGTGATTCGTTGTCAACAAAACAATAGCAGAAGAAACCTTTCCTGTCTCTCTGAGGTTTCTAAATGCGAGTATGTTTCCAGTAGACATGATGCGGTTAAGGCGATCCGGGAAATGGCACCGATTGTGTGCAAGCCATTCTTAGACACTTGGTCAAGGTGTCAAAGGAAAAGGTGTGTCTGTGGCTCTTCTCGCTTTCCTGTTCCAGGATAGAAGACCGGGTGCGACGGAGGCAGTCGGGAAGTCTGCCTAACAGATCCTCAGAGACACCACTGAGACACGAGCCAGACGTGTCCCCACCCCCTCCACATTCCTCTTATGGTCACACCGCTCCATGGCAATCATGGCACTTAGATTTAACAGAGGCCTGGCATTAACAGCCACCCAGTGCAAGTCCATACAAGTACCTGGAGCTGTATAGCATCTTGAGTGTGTTCAAGTTCAAGTTCAAATTTTATTCGCCACATGCAGTGGTAGGTTGCCCTGCAGTGGAATGAACCCGCCCCCCGACCTTACACACACAACACAGACATCACATGGGGATACAAGTCAGAGAACGGTTGCAATACAGAAAAACCACTGAAATGGACACTACAATGGGAAAAAGTACAAGAGGAAAAAAAGAGACCTCTACTCATGCTGGGCTACAGGAGGACAGCATGAGAACAGGAAACAAAAAAACTCCTCTGCACAGAAAAGCACATAAATGTCCACAGTACAACATTATAGAGCACGTGACCAGCAACAGGGTTGGGTAGGGGATGAGGAGTAATCCCAGGCAACACAGCAGCCATCTTGCCACTGCGCCGACCCCCCCATGCGCGGGCCCAGACCCGCCTCGTGTTCCCAGGAGGTAACAAGCATCGAAGGCGTTGGAAAGGGAAGGGGAGATGAGTGAGTGCTTATCAGTGTAAGTGTGTGTGTGTGTGCGTGTCCATAGTTCAGCTGAGACAGTGTCCTTCGCCCTATCAGGCTAAGTAAACAGTCCTCCAGCCAATCCAGGTGGCCTTGCATGGGATGGGGAGAATAGTCATCACACAGTCGTTATCAGGGAGTGTTTGTCCGGCTTCAGCCTTGGAATTCTCTTTTAGGTTTTAGAGAACAACAGTGAGAGACTGTTCCAAGGAAAGTAATGTACATGAGACAGACAAGGACACAGAGGCTAAGCAGGGAAGATAAGGGTAAGGAGAAGAGGAGAAAAGTGCGACCGCCTTCGCTGAGAGCCAAACGAGAAGTGTGTTGCTGTTACGCACACGAATGTATTGTGCCCTTACATCAGCAGGTACACAAATCAGATAGCAAGCGACACAGGATGGGAGCGTTCCTATTGGCATGTTTAAGCTTTACTGGGAATGTTGGCAGCGGCTTATTCACTGATGTGGGAACAGGGTGGTTTACTGTAGAAGACGTTTTTGTTTTATTGTCCCAACCCCCCCCTCACTTTGCTCTTAGTTCCTAAACAGTCCTTGCACTTCCTTTTAAAGGTCCTGTGTCACCCCATTAAGGCTCGGGGCATACTAACACAGCAGAAACTCAATGCTTTCTGGGCTATTCTCTCTGTCAATGTCGGTTTTATTTTTAGATATCATGGCTTCCAGAGTTTAAACAAACAACTTCAAGGTCAAAACCTACTGGAAGCACCTTAAATATGATTCGAGTAATTCGTCTTTTCTCTGCTCAGAGGTCGGAGTGAACACTCGCCGGCAGTTTGAACCCTGATAATAACTGCTTACACTTTCACTCTCAACAAAAACTGGCAGCAGTGATTTATATTCCAAATACATTTCTTGACATAATTTCCTCACATTGTTCATTTGGAACGTCGTGTATTTGAATACAAGTACAACAAGTGGGAACGCTACTTTTCCACCCTCTGGTTATGTTCGCCCTGTTTGATGAAAACACATTGAAAGCTTGTATTTTTTGTAAAGTGCTGTGAATGAATGCTAAGCACTGGTCTCAGGGTTATTCAGAGAATTTGTGTGTTCACAGTGGGCTTTTGGAGTGACGCTGTGGGAGCTGATGACTCTGGGGCAGACCCCCTACGTCGACATTGACCCTTTCGAGATGTCGGCTTACCTAAAAGACGGGTACAGAATAGCACAACCAATCAACTGTCCAGATGAGCTGTAAGTTGCCCCCCCTCCCCCCCCTCGCACGCACACACACACACACATACACGCACACTCTGTATTTTCACTTGTTTATTTGACTTTGGTAAGAGTTGGAGCTAGTTTTTTGAGTCGTCCTTCCTTTTCTTGTCCTATTTGTCGACAGTTTACAGACGTTAATAATATACAGAACCACAGCAACACTAAGTCCACTGCTATCCGCTGGGTAAGGTATAGATCAGTGTGGCCAGGTTTGGTTTCTGTAGGATTATTACTCTAATCCCACAATTTTCTGATCTGCAATGACAACAAGTCAAGGATGATGCAGTGCTGCACCTCCTTTATAAATTGTTTTTTATGATTTTAAGTAGCAGTTTATCAGTATGGCCTTCTCATTACAAGATGATTTAGCCTTTTTTTCCCACCTATAAAGTGTAACAAGAAGCAACTCATGTTTCATGTATATAGTGCCACTTCATCGCCTCAAGAACTCCATATTACTGTAGGCTGAGAGCAGTGCAACCCAGAAATAATAAATGTATGCGCTAGCTTTTCAGCACAAATCTGAGACCAGATGACTCAGTGAATGTTGTCATCTTCACACTAACTGGTCAAAAGATCAGTTTGCCTACTTTAAAGCAGTAGTTGTTTACAGTTAAAGTGTTTCATAATTTTTAAGAGAAAGAAAAAAACCCACAATGTTTTTCCACAACAGACTGGTAACGGTGCAACAATATTCTGGAAAGCGTGGCAAATCATCACTGTCCACAGACAGTGGAAAAGAGTGTTTCTCTTTTTTGTTTTAGAGGGAAGCGTCACTGCAGATCAGTGCAAAGTTCAGTAAAGGTCATCACCTTTGATGCGAATACTCAAAACGCAGACCAAGTCCTTTTGCACTGTTTCCAAACACTTTCCTCTCCAATGTGTGCCTTTCTGTTGTTTTGTATATATTCCTCTAGTTTGTATATATTCCCCTTGGCTGTATATCTGTTCTGTTTGCTGTTTATTCCTGACCCTAACCCTTCTGCACAGTACATTGACAATAAAGCGCCATTCTGTTTATTTTATTTGAGCACCAAATAAGTGAATATCTTCCACTGGAAGACTGTTTTCATACTGGCTTTTCCTTTAATTTGTCACATCTGTAAGTCTGCAGTGAAGAGTGTATTTTCAGCTGCAGTGAAGCTTGTTATTGGAGACTGTTGGCACAATAAATGTGCTGCTAGTTGACATATTGTTTGAGGACCTGAGTCGAATTAAACTGTTCAGCTGCTACTAGCTTTGATTGATGCAAAGTTTAACTCCATCAGGCTGTCAAGAAGAAGAGGCAATGTTGTCCCACTGGTTTCATTTTTTTTTTTTTTGCATCACTGCAGTAGTATTTACCATCTGATCCCCCAAAACAGGTTTGTAGTGAGGAAGCTCAAAGCAGCCCTGGCAGTGCATGGATGGATTAGTGTTTGGTGGAAATTAACACTTGCTGGAAGCTGACTTGGGAGAAGCAGAAATGTGTTTGTGCCATGCCCGTCAAATTCTCATGGTATTTCTGTCTTCGGGGTGTACTTAAACCTGCAAAAGTTATACTTTCCATTCCCAACAATCTCTGAAGACAGCAAAGAAAGAAGGTGTCTGGCCTTTACTTTAAACCCCCCCCCCCAGACGATTTAGGGGTAAGAACTGCTTCATGAGAAGTTAACATTTGCTTGAAGCCAGATCCAGATGTGCATGGATGTGCCATCCAGCAGTTTTCTGGATGACCCGGGCTGACTGGTTGAATGTGTCCTGGGTCACCACTTTTAGCTTTTCTGAGAGGACACCAAGGCATCCCCAGGCCAGACAAGAGACATAGTCTCTGTGGTGTCTGTCCTTGTGTCTCTTCCCACCTCAGTTAGGTATCATCCAGGAGGCATCCTTGCATGTCTGAACCATCTGAACTAGTAGCTGGAGGAGTAGAGGCTTTACTTTGAGCTAGTCCTGAATAACCAAGGAAGATACAGGAGGCTGATTTCTGCGCTCGTATTAACATTTAAAAAACAGACACAGTACAGATGGAGTCCACACTACCACGCATGCTGCATCAGTCTCTCTGGAAATTTCCTGATACATCCTCCACATTCATCAAAAAGAGCCTACACAAGATCAGTATTAAAGCAAGTCAAAATTTGGGGTATTTTGATGAAAGAAAACAAAAAGACTGGCTGGATTTGACAAATTTTACACCTTTTATCCCTTTGCCAACCAGTTGACATTGCAACTTACATCCATGTTTCCATTAAGTCCAGTAATCTACATTGGTTCCTGTCCGTGCTGAAGTACTAAGAATAGAGGATATTGTTTGCTGCACAGACTGAAAGCCCATGAGGCAGATTTTTGATAAACACATATTTATCTTGACTTTGTTGAGCTTTGTTGTTCCAGCTCTGCTGTATGTCTGCTGCATTAGTGTTTAAGTTCATTGAGAGAAACGAAAAACAGACTCAAATTTGTCGTGCGTGCACATGCTTGGCAAAGAAAGACAATGCTAAAAAATCACATTTAGAGCCGAGCAGTTATCAGACAGTGCTTCAGATATGGAAAGAAGATGCAGATTCTAAAACATGGAGAGCTTTAGCATCAGAGATTACTTCATGACATCAGGATCTGACTAAATGAGAAATACAGTAACGCTCTTCCCTTTGGTTCCTGTGTTATGGCACTTAATCATTCACCTGTGACTGTGTGGACTTGATCATTTGTCTTAAATGTTGCCATAACCAGTGTGTTTATAAGTGTCTTCTTAAGTTTGGCTTTTAACCACCAAGTTCCAATTAATTGATGAGTGCAGATTTGATGAAACTCCCTCCAGGTGTTCCTCGGATATTACTTTTACACTAATTCCTCGGAGCGCCGCCATCCCAGCGCAGAGGCATTTAAAGAAAACAATCTCGTGTCAAATCCCCACAGAAATGTGCAATTCTCGATGATTAAAGGAAACTCAGGATCTGATTACCTGAAATCTGTTAAGTCATCAAAAAACTGTTTCCTTGCAAATACAATAGATGTTGAGGCAATGGCTTCCTTCACCACAATACTAGAGCTTATGTAATCGAGGCCGTGCGCTGATAGAGAGGTAATTATATCTCACGCATTTCTATCAGCACTGCACAGGCAGCTCCTGGTTCAAGACAATACAGCAGTTGCAGTATAATACTACGCGAACGCTGCCTTTAAATCCAGTTTTTCTCTTATAAAAATGAAAATTTATTCACTTTCATTTTATTTACATGGCACTTACGGAGCTTCAAGAGCACCCTCATGATGTCACAGCATGTATTCATTTGTGTTCCTGGACATGAATTTCTCCTTTTTTTCCCATAGCTGTTGATTCATAAAGATTTTCCACTTTTTTAAAAGTTGGAAAGGTCAGTGAATGGACGCATTACACTTTCCCAGGATATCTGCTTGTTTAGGTTTAGGCAGTTCCAGTCTAAGCTGGGAGGCCCAATTTTCAAATGATCTGTGAGGTGTTTTCAGACATGACTCCTCTGTGAACTTTGACCTGATCCTTCTCTGTGTTGCAGGTTTGCAGTGATGGCTTGTTGCTGGGCCTTGGACCCCGAGGAGAGGCCCAAGTTTCAGCAGCTGGTCCAGTGTCTCACAGAGTTTCACGCAGCGTTGGGTGCTTACGTGTGAAAGCAGTGGGTGCCACTTCTTCTTCTTCTAATCCATTAAAGCAACGACACTAAAGGCTGGCGGACACTTTTCACGGGGAATGCACATTTGAAATTGTGCCTTATCACATGAAAGATGAGCAGACTTGTGCCCGATGCTTTTGTTTTGTACAGTTCTTTTGGAGTTTTTATATAGTTAAATTACCTTTTTACAGCATAGCAAAGTAAAACGACTCTGTGTTCAATATTGTTCCATTTGCTTTGAAAGCATCTAGAAAAGGCGCCGATCGACGATCTCCACACGCAAAGAGGACCCGAAGAACGAAAAGATGAGGACTTTTTTTGTGCCATTGAGTGACTTTTTAAAAGAACAATTTAAGCTTCTGCAGTATTTTCTACAGATTCTGTAATGTTGTGCAAATTTTAGATATGTTTTGGGTGTAAATAACTCCACAGCAGAATGAGTTAGGTACCAAAGTAGACCAGAGAGCTTCAGTAACCATAATCTTCTTGGACATGCTGCTCCGCTCAGGCTCGGTACGAGAGGCAGATCTGTTGAAATGATTTCTCTGCAAATGGTACAGCGCTTCCTCTGCCGTGGATGAGTTTCCTTTACTGGAGCGCACTCAACAGAGACGTCACACCACTTTTTTTTTTCCTATGCCAGCAGCGTGGATAAAGACGTGGACACCACAGCTGGAACATCAGCTCTGCAGAGCTATCTGTATAAACCTGATTTTTACACGTGGACACTTATTATTTCAATGTCACTGCTGTCTTCCTCTTGTACTTTTTATTTCCGCTGTCAGAGCCACCGAGTGTGTGTGTGTAAAAGGTGGATGTGATGTGACCAGTTGGTTAGTGAAGCATCGAGTGGAGCGTTCTCGCCAACACCATCAGATCGAAGCGTCTGAGAACCAACGTTCGAAGATGGATTGATGTCAGAGGGACATAAATCATGGCGGACTGAATCTGTGGGATGCATCTGCTTCTTACTAAAGTACAGTAGACTATATATAAAAGATTGGTGTAGGCGCTGTGACATCACCCATGGTCTTGCTGTCTTGAAACCAGATGTGACGTGTAGGGGGGGTGGATTAGACTGAGACATTTGGTATCAGCTCACTGACAGTGTAGTCATGGTCTGAATCGGCACCGAAGCGGCGGCTTGCACCGGCAGATGTGACGTCACTTTTGTTGTACGATGTTTGGCAAGGAGACAACGGCCAATATAACAGTGCGGCCGTTATACCGAGGCTTTTGTGGTTTTGTGCACATTCTGGTGGCAGAAAAATATCAGAAACAAGTGAAAGAAAACAAACAAGATCATCAGAACAAGTTCAAAAAAAAATAATAGTCAGACATCGGAGCAGAAATGTGAAAATGAGGCTGTGAATTTTATCCATTGCAGAAGAGAACCTCTCAGGTTACAAGCCACGAAGCGAACAGACCGGACTGAAGAAAGCATTCGGCTTCAGTGAGCGACTCATCAGGCGGCTTTCCAGAGCTTAAAAATCTTTAATAAAGACAAATTCAACACAACAGTAACATTAGCATGTTTCTGTCCAGCATCACTCAGTATTGATGCAAATGTTTAAACGGGTCATTTTGTGGCCTGAACACAAACTGAGCTCAGCTTTTGAACCACATGATATCTCTGTGGTTCCAGTGTGATGATGGAGCAAGTCCGCTCTTTGTTACCTTATTGTTCATTTATTTAAGGCGGAGTCTGGAAGCTCTTCTATAAATCACCGCTCATGTTTTCTACAGCACCAAGTCAGCCGTGTCACCTTAAACCACAATCGATCAAATATTTGCATTAAATGTTCCAGGCATGGCTGCAAACACATTTGGATGCCTTTAGTTTTGGCACAAGGTTTACGAAATTGCCTCACAAGTGTCACTCGCTGCCAGCGGTTCTTCTCCGCCCACAGAACAAGTCGTTGACTACGTCCATCTTCTGTGTACAGTGTGTTTTTTGAGCTGCATTGTTCAGTGTGAGATCACAGCTCTTCACACGACTGCTCGACTCATTTTGATTTAATCACTGTGAACACACACGCCAGCTTGGTCTCATCGTATCCTTCCACTATCTTTATGTGTGGTTTTTTTTTTTTATGGTCACTGCATGTTGAGATAAGGTTGTAAACTGCTTCCCAATTTCATATCCACAAATTAAATGGAATCTTTTGAATATATTACCCTGTTCTTTTGTCTTTTTTTCTCTCTTCATCCAAAGCTTGTTTTCTGTAGTTCCCCAAAAGTCACAGCCACAGTGGGGGGGAAACCTAACTGTATCTAAAGACACCAACTACAGCGAATCATCCCCTAGTGTCTGCATTACGCACTTAGCTTCCCTCTGCACTGCTGTGCCTTCTTTCTTTCCTGTGCTTCATTGTTTTATGTCAGACAATTCTGCACCGGACATCTTTTATCCCTTTGCCAGCCAGTTGATGTTGCAACTTACATCCATGTTTCCAGTAAGCCCAGTAATCACATTGGTTCCTGTCCATGCTGAAGCACTAAGAATAGAGGATATTGTTTGCTACACACTCTGAAAGCCCATGAGGCAGATTTTTAATAAACACGTTTAACTTGACTTGTTGAACTTTGTGTTTCCAGCTCTGCTGTATGTCTGCTGCATTACTGTTTAAGTTCATTGAGAGAAACGAAAAACTGACTCGAATTCGTCGTGCGTGCACATGCTTGGCAAAGAAAGACGATGCTAAAAAAAAACATATTTTGGACGCTTTAGATATGGAAAGAAGATGCAGATTCTAAAACATGGAGAGCTTTAGCACCAGAGATGACTTCTGTGCTTCATTGTTTTATGTCATTTGGTTTTGTTTCGCCTCTTTCGGCTTTAGGCTAAAGTCACATGAACGCCACACTTCTTTAGGATGTCGTAATGGAAAATTATGTCAAATCTAATTTTTTTTGAGTCCCTAAATCCCCTTGCTCACAAGTCCCTCCAAACCTAAATGCTATCAATTATATCTGTGGCCCACAGGCTGGAAAAATAATTGATAGCAGGTAAGAAAAGTGCAGTACTGAGGGAAATAGATTGCTGAAGTTTGTTTAAATTTGTTAGAAGCTGCCAAAAAGCCTAAAATAGATACAGACGCACACCAGACCTGCAACAATATAAAGAAGAGAGGTGACGATCAGTGAGCAGAGCTTCGCAGATGGATGTTTGCTTTGAGAATGTTGATGGAGAAGGTCTGATGCAGAGGGTGGTTGTGGGGATATGGAGGCAGAGGATCACAAAGATGTTTACACACAGACTGAGGGATAGTTCTTCATTTAGAACCAGATTGTGTCTTTTTGTGGAGCTTTTTGTCTAGAGATGAGTTTTCAACCACTGCAAACCTGCACCTGTGCACTCTCTAGAGCAGGGCTGTTGGACTCCAGGCCTCGAGGGCCGGTGTCCTGCAGGTTTTAGATCTCACCCTGGGTCAACACACCTAAATCACATGATTAGTTCACTAACAGGCTTCTGGAGAACCCCAAGACATGTTGAGGAGGTAATTTAGCCATTTAAATCAGCTGCGTTGGATCAAGGACACATCTAAAACCTGCAGGACATCGGCCCTCGAGGCCTAGAGTCCGACACCTGTGCTCTAAAGCAGCAGTCTCAAACTCGTGGCCCACCTCACCCCTACTTGCATATGCATGTATCTAGACGTGAAAAAATATAGTGCAATTTTTTTGGACCTTGAAGTTTCTCTTTTTTGTTGAGCAGGATTACTTTGTTGAGTGCAATGTAAAAATAAGTTCTTTAAAAAGCAAAAGAATAAATGCAGAATGAAACGCACAGACGGTCGCTGCAGTGGACGCTTTTCATTTTGTTAACCGTCAGTTTCACTTCAGCTTTTCCTAGAACTTTCTTCACTGAAGCTGGTTGATGGACCAAGAGTAGCCCACAGACCACAGAGCTGTTGTAATACACTTTTTAACCACTGCCTCCATCTGAAAACAGACTCTTTCTGCAGGTCGACTGGCTGCCAACACAGTACCACCGCTTAAACCACAATTTCCCCTTTAGACACAGGTGAAGACGATCGGGAAGTCAAAACTACAAGAAGTGAGGACAGGCTAAACACAGAGACAAAACTGCTCACACCAAGCAGAATAGGAGAGACTGAGTGACACAGAAGGGACTAATCCAGCCTGCAGAAGTGTAGCTGCTGTCAGCACTTGTCAACGCGGGCTTCGTTGACGGTGACGTGTAGTTACATTTCTTGGGATTGGGAGGACTGGGAGGCACAAATAGGGAAACGCTGCAGAAACTAGAATAACAAAATGAAAACGAGAACTAAAATCTCAACGATTTCACTAAAACTCAGAGACAAGTTCTCCAGAATGGAGACATCACCACCGCGGCCTTATTTGTTTTGAGTAAATCAGCTGGATGTCAGACATGTGGTGTCACATTGTGGTATTTCAGTGAAGCTTGAACATGACATATTTTCAAAATGTGCTCAGTCATTGGTGGCTTTCAGATTGTGTCACGGTGAAGCCACTCTTTCAGTTTTTCTACTTTCCTCACCAGCTGCAGGCACAGCAGAGCGCACTGTAACGCGGCCACAGGACGTATTGAGCAAACACTCCTGCATCCTCAGCAGCAGACTGTTGTGTCACAGTACGGCAGAGTTTAGAGAGGTTCTGGCTTTCGAAGTTCCTGTCTGCGGGGGTTTCTGGGTTTAATTCACTGAGAACCTCCAGGCAGCTCTGTAATCCTGTTTCTGGGAACTGGGCCCAGTTTGAGCTTCCAGCTTGACTCATCTTCATTGCTGTCACTCCGTTTCCACTGACTTTACATACTTTGCACACATTTTCCACACATTTCCACACATTTCAGCTTCATTGAAAGCCACCAACAGTTTACTTGTACACCCACTCCAAGCGTCACAATCTGAAACCAAAACCTGTTGTGGTTGTTGTTGTTATTGTTTTTTTCCTCAGTGTGATTTTCTTTTCTCTAAAACCGCCTTTGAGCATCAGCATCATGGGATATATCATCATTTCAGTAACCTGCAGCAGTTTAAGGCATTGATAACTCGCATGTTTGATCTGTTTTCTGATAACTCACTGGCGAACACTTGAAGAACTACATTCTGGGTAAGCCTTCTCCATGTGGGACACGTCAGTGAACAGGGTATAATATGTGACCTGCCTCCTTTTAGTCTCAGCTAGAAGAGGATTTGGATATCAACATGTAGACAAAAACTTGGGCCTTTCTTCACGGTGGGGTCCCACTAGTTATTTAAAGTTATTTGGTCCCTGAGAAAAATTGCCCACAAAAAAATATAATTCCTGAGATCATTCGGCCACTTAAACAGCTCCCCCACTGATCAGATGTTGATTCGTGGAGGAGTTGCATTAAATTCCTTTACATGTGGAGCAGTGAGGTTCGTGTGGCATCAATCGATAATAATAAAGTCATTTCTGTAGTTAACTGATATGCATATGTAAAAACTCCTGCAGTGTTTGACGCAATAAATTTCCTTACTAGTGTGTTTGCAGACAGCTTTATAACAGTTCAAAGTCTGGATCATGGCTGATGTTTTACAGACTTGCTCACGTCCAAAGTCCAAACTTCTCCGCAGAGCATGTTTAGGTATCCAGATAAGAGAGCGCAGCCCCGCCTTGTTCAAAGAACTGAAAGAGAATGGATATTGATCTCTTGGAAAGACCTGCTCTACCTCTCAGGAGGCAGGTTATCTACCAAGCAGAAAGTGGTGGCTCGATCCCTGGCAGCTCCAGTCTTCAGTCTGGTCTTTGGTACCAGAGCACTGGTACCAAACTGAAATCTTACTCAGCTTGAGAGTGATTCTCTTCTGCAGTTTTCTGCTGCACCCCAACCAGAGCCTGGGTCCCAGGAGGAAGACGGTCTAAAAACGTCTCTCTAACTTTGTAATAGATCATGTTTATTCAATAAGAATTGATGTTCAGCCGCTCTGCACTTCAAACATCTGCCTGAGGACACATGGCTGGACACAGGCCCAGTATTTTCTACACCTGCTTTCCCCGCTCTGTATAATTCTGAAGAAATATTCAGATTTCCTGTGCTAACCCCATCAACTCATCTTGTTCTTGTCCAGCCAAAACACCGGAAACACCCCATTAAACACTACCATTCACCTTGAATCCTTTTTTTTTATTCCAAAGTGGAAAGTTTAAGAAGCACTCATTTAGACTATCCAAAACACTAACGAGTGCTGCCTGGGGGGAATCACAGACCTACAGTTTGAGGACAAAGTGCTGAAAATTCGTTTCTTTATTGTGAGAACAGAAAAGTCCATCATCCACGTGGTTTTGTGGCTCTTTGGGTAAAGGTGAGCAGTGTTTAAACGCGTTTTCCAAACTCCAGCGGGTAAGTTTCCTTCACGGAAACGTTAAGGTGACTGTGACCTCTGTTGTCTGTCTCAGCTGTTGGAATTGTTTGCGGCTTCTCTGCACCGCGTAAAAATCCACGTGAATAAATCAACACGCTGTTAAACATTTATTGTGGGGAAACACTGGCCTCTAAACGGCTTCATTCATTAGTCTCTCTCCCTGCCTCTCTCTCTGCTCATTAGCTCGGGACAGAAAACAGCTCTGAGTGGCGCATACCGCGCGTAATGAGCTGCTGGAGAACAATACGGGGCTCACTGGATACTTGACAAACACTCCTGCTCACATTATAGCCCGTCTGCATGTGAATAACGCGGTGAGTAACACCGGGGACTCCGCTCTTTAACAAACAGTTCAACTGTCACAGGTGAGCGCTGCGCCCCGTGACTCAGACCTGTTCCCTTTTCACAAGTTTCAAAACATTTACGCGTGGAGCCGTGGGCTGAGTCCAGTTACATCATCAGCGACGGGCATAAAAAAGAAGAAAAGAAAAGAGAGCGCACACATCAGCGGGGGGAGGACGCAAACATGAAACCTGGAGAGGAAGCCTTTCTGCTCACTGTGGAGCCCCGAGCCGAAGCGATGGACGCGAATCTGCGCAGAGACGCGAAGAAGCCCAGGACGCTCCGCTGCAGCATAAAGGTGAGACACCGGCTGGCACTGCGCAGAGGACGCAGCGTGTGCGCATTTATCCTAGAGGAGTGCGCGACTTTGCGACTTTACGCACACAAACTGAGTTTCTACTTCGGCTTCAAGGGGAGCGTTCCACTTTGTTCTCCACTGAGTTCAGTGAACCCACCTGTGGGTGCTTGAAAGCAGCCGCACCTTAACGCGGCAAACATAATGAGCCACATAAATGTGGCATTTTCAAGTGGAGGTTTAATCTGAGGGCATTTCACCTTTTTCTCTCCATAACTTGAGGATTTTGCCCTCTGGGTAGGATTGCCTAAGCGCAAACCGAGCTTCACCTGAGATAAACAAGATAAAATCGGCCACAATGTGGTCATAAGTCTCTTGTTAGCTAAAATAATAATAATAATAATAATATTAATAATAATAATAATAAAATGAATCTGAGCTAATTGAAATCAGATTTAAATGCAGATTGAGTGTTTGCTGCTTGGGCTGATGATGCTGGAGGTGACCTGCAGGGAACAACTTGGCGCTTTCATCTTAATTAACGTGTTTCTAATCTTTCCGCACAAACTGAAGTTCACCCCCGCCAAAATCAAATGTTATTTCCAAGGCAGGAAGGGATTTTAATTTTTGTAATTATAAATCAAACATTTTTCTCCCTTTTCACTTTGGGAGGTTAACGATGAGGAATCCAACACGGTAAAGTGCAAAGTCTCAGTTACAGACTTGTTTACTGTGAGTGTGCAAATAAAGTAAATGTATTAATACCACTAATGTAAAAGATGCATTATATTAATTAATTATAAATTAAATAAACTTTCTAATTTTAGGCACTTTCATGTAGTTCAGAATGAAACCCTTAAAGGACTCTGTTTTAAATCAAACGTGTAAAATGTGTTTAGCAATAAATAAATAAATAAAAATCACTTTTTTCATTTGGATATATATTTTAATAGGTTGTTAAAAGAGGGAGCTTTGGAGTTTTAGATGTATACGTCTGATAATATTATATGAATTTATATTTTTACAAAGTTTTGGGGACTTTAAACTTACATTGATTTGCAGTTGGTGAATTAATTCACTTCACAAAGTTTATTGATAGGTTCAAGCAAAGTTCCACCTTAAGATGGTCAGACTAAAGTTTTTTTTTTTTTTTTGGCTTTAGTTAAGGATGTTATTCTTAATAATATTAATAATAACTAATTTATGAAGCACCTTTCAAGCAACCCAAGGTAGCATTACACACTGAAGTCAAAGGCTGGTGAATTTCTTATTTAATGTTTTCAAGCAGTTCATCAAATTCTGCATAAATGTTAGAATAACTCTTAAATCTGAGTGTTTTACAGTGTAGTGTTTGACAGAGACTGAGAATTTAAACAACCTTTAAAACACACACACACACACACACACACACACTCACACTCACACTTGTTTTCATATCTTAGTGAGGACATCTAATTGACATAATGCTTCCCCTAGCCACTTACCCTAAACATCACAAATGAATGCCTAACCCTAACCCTAATCCTTAGCCTAAACCTAAACATAACCTAACTGTGACTGTAACCCTGACCCTAAAACCACATTTTGAGCCTCAAAAATGCCCTCAAACTTGTGGGGACGGGCACTTTGTCCTCATAAGCAACTGTTGGTCCCCACAAGTAAAGTAAACTTCCAATTTATCTCTCCTCACATAGCTATGTAAACATGCACAGACACACACTTGCCTTAAGTCCAGCTGTTACTGCTGATCCAAAACCACATCACACATCCACAACAGTCAGAGTCTAAACTCAACATGGATGAAATGTAACAAAGAACACAACTGAAAATAATGAACTGAACCTGAAACATTCCCAGGAGGCTTTGTGCTCACCTGTAAGGACCTCTCCACGGTCAGAAGAATCGAGCACAGATTATTAAATGAAAGGTGTGTGGAGGGAAAACTAAAAAGATTACACAGCGAGAGCAATTAAAAAGTAAAATGAAGTTTGGTTTACCTGCAGAAGCAAAGACAGATGTTCAGCTTTGACTAATTTAGATTCTCAAAGTGAGGACCAGGGGCTGACAGCAGCTCTCCATCCTTCCATATGGAAAAGAAATGAAGCATTAACCTTTCTTTATTCACTTATAGTTCATGTCATACTACAGGATACTGCAGCCTTTTGTATGTAAATGATGGATGCAGCTTTTGGAAATCACCCATTAGTTTTGAACTTCCACATTTTAGATGCTTCAGCACCTTATTTGCTTGTTTTGTCCATCCATCCATCCATCCGCTTTATCCGAGGCCGGGTCGCGGGGGCAGCAGCCTAAGCAAAGAGGCCCAGACCT